ACAGAAATGAGCTGCAGAACAACCACTCTGTGTGTGTGAATCCTGCCTGTGACCCTCACAGAGGGCCAAGTGTGTGTTACTTCCGGGTGCAGTGCTACTGTTTCAACTTGGAGCTGGAAAGATGAAAAGACCCTTTAAGTCTTCCGGTGCAAGGTTTTCTAGTTTTATTTTAGTGGGAGGGCCCTTTCTTCAAACCTGGAAGCAGACATGTAACTTAGATTAACCCCAGGCTGCTGGTGTGAGGGATCCAGGGCCATGGGGCTTACGGTCCCCCTCCAAGAGCAATTTGAGAAACAGGCATGCGTCACCCCCATTCCCTTATTAACTTACTCGCTCACTCATTCACACAACCAGATTTCTTGAGCACATACTGTGTTTAGGTGCTGGTGAGACAGCAGGCAACAGGACAAAGGCAATCTTCGCTTTCACTAAGCTCACACTGTAGCAGGACATGGCAAAGGGAAGTTCAGAACAGGTGGCCAGTGCTACAGAGGAAACAGGTCACTGAAGTAATGTGACCATGATGAGGAGGTGGCCACTCTAGATGGGGAAATGGACAGGCCTCTCCGAGGAAGTGAGACACAACTGAGATCAGAATGACAATCTGGAAAGATGCCCTGATTTGGACCAATGAGGAAGCAGACCCAGTGAGGCAAAGCAGCCTTCCCCAGGACATGGTGGGGCATGGGCACAGCTGGGACCTAACCTGGGTTTCCAGCATCCTCCACCCAGGGCTCTTTGCTTTCACAAACATTACTAAACAACTACCACATATAAAGAAGTCTCAATGGGCCAGGCATGGTGCCTCATGCCTATAATCCCAGCACTTTGTGAGGCCAAGGTGGGCGGATCACCTGAGGTCAAGATTAGAGTCCAGCCTGGCCAACATGGTGAAACTCCATCTCTACTGAAAATACAAATATTAGCCGGGTGTGGTGGCACGTGCCTGTAATCCCAGCTACTCAGGAGGCCGAGGCAGGAGAATCACTTGAACCCAGGAGGTGGAGGTTGCACAGAGCTGAGATCGTGCCACTGCCCTCCAGCCTGGGCAACAAAGAGAGACTCTGTTTCAAAAAAAAAAAAAAAAAGTCTCAGTGACAGATGTCATCCAAGGGCAGACAAACCACCAGATCAAGTCCTGCTGTTTGGCGCTATCTGGCCTGACTCTTCCCTACCCTCCCCTCCTAAGCTGAGGCCAGGGTTGGCCCTGGATCTGAAGTCTCTATACCCCAAAAGAGCTCCGCAGTTGTTGGCACCCTAGACCTGTGACCTTGGCTGGGAAAGCTTCTTCATCTCCTGTCTTTCTGGCTGTAAACTGGAGCATGCTCCTTACTGCTTCATTTGGCATAAAGGTAAAAGCAAGATGGCAGGCGTAAGCCCACTGGTTCATCTGGAGGATGGCTCTCTGGAAAGGAAAAGTGCTTCAGGGCGATTTAAAGACATCAAAGCCAGTTTTCCTCCTGTGCTGTGGAAGGCATTCATACAAGAACTATGAGAAACTACACAGGTCTGTACATATTTTACATGCAAGAGTCAGACACTCCTGTTGTGCTGAATGTGGCAGGAGGCAGCCTGCAAATGGCTCCCCCACTATCCACAAACCAAGCAGCTCCAGGCCACCCAAGCACTCCCCAGCCCCAGACCACCAACTCTGCACCTGTGACCCAGCTGTGTCCCTGGCCTTAGGAGCCTTGCTGCTGCCAAAGCACTTCAGGCATTAACTAATGGGAGCTTCCAGATTCCTAGGGAGATAGGCCAGTGACGATTAGTCCCATTCTTCACACAAAGCAACTGAGCCCCAGATGACGTTTTCAGGCAACAAAGCAAATGAAGCAGTGACAACCACTAAGTTCTAATTCAAATCTAGGTCTCCAGGCTCCATCTGCTGCTTTCCACTACAAGTCAGCTGCCCCCAAATTGAACACGCCGTGGCCTAATACCACCCTCATTCTCGGGCCACCCCACCCTCCACCTGCATACACCCTACACCCGAGAGTGCACTTAGGACTTTTTCTAGAAGCTACCTCTTCTCACAACCCCACCTCATAATACTTGCCACACACTGCAGACCCCTGGAGCACTATTCCTGCACACACAGCAGCTGAGACCCACGTTAAGATGCTGTCCAGCCTAACCCAATGGAGCAGCTTCTCTTTCACACTTTCCAGCAAATGCGCCGTTGAAACTGCACATATCACCTATGAGAGCTCTACACCTCAGAACCTTCACACCCTCCTTACCGTAGGGGCCAGCCAGCTGCATGTGCAGGGAGGGGCACACAAACACAGGTGACAGGGCCTGCAGTCATGTTCCCACAAATACACAGAGGTGCCCAGGGAACACGGGACACCCCTGCACAGGCAGCCCGACCCGCCAAGAACAATGTGCACCGCACACAGCAGCTGCCAGCAATGAGCAAACCCCGTGTTGCAGGAGGTAGGCGGCCAAGGCCGGTCCACATCTAGCTAAGCAGCTTTGAGCCTGTCGCCTAAGCTTATGCACAAGAGGCAGCTAATGGAATTCAGGGTGGACAAGGGGAATGACATTTTGAAGAGGAACAACCATGTCCCAGGAGGGCACACGGCCCTCAGAGACCCAGAGCTCTTCCCAAGGCACAAGTGCAGAAGGCAGACTCCGGCGTGTGGTTACAGACACTAAGCTGCGCGCCCCTGCGCACGCCAACGCGTGGTCCCATCCGCCGCGTCCCTCGGGATGCCTGCCCCACTCCTGTCCGCAGCCGGCGTCCCCTCGCCCGCCCGCCCC